ATGTATGATTTTTTTTATAAAACTTCAAATTTACGTTTTAATTTTAATTTTTGGTAGGATGGGAAAATTATTTAGTTTTAATATTTTAAATTTGAAAATACCCCTTAAGCTATATTTTCAAGAGACTGAGGATACTGATAGTTATAATAGTTACAACTATTTATGATCTTGGAGACAATAATTATTCCCCTTATTGTAATAAAATAATTTTATTATTTGTAACATCTTATAATTACATGCATTTCGTGTTATTGATTTATGATTATGGTTGATAATGTTTATAGCTTTTGTGGACATAATTTCGATTACGGATTGGATAAAAGATAGTTGTTGCTATTTTGTATCACAACAAAATGTGTGTACCGTGCTTTTAAGGTATTTGTACTGCAGTGGTTCGATTGGAAACGAACAGGGGATTTCAAACAAGTACAGGTGGTCTTAGTGTAATTGATTGGAATTATATTGTATGTGGTAGATGTTAGACACGGCTTAAATCGGTCCTAAATCAATCCCTTATAGGACTTTATAGATCTTTCGTTTTAAATGTATTTGTACAATACCGGCGTTGTTTTATACTATCTACGGCAGTACGGCCTATATCTACAAGTTACAGCTCCAAATATATGAAACAATATGCATTTGCTTGGTTTTCTCTTTGGTTAATAAAACAAAAACACAGACATGAGAGTTGACATTATTATATTAGGTACATTATTGTTGCGTACACAGTTATTATACAATATTATTTTATCTGTCTGTTTGTACGACATGACAAATCGCGAAGGCTTATTGTCTTCGATACCTATATTAAACGATTGCCATCGCAGCAGATAGGTACCTGTCAAGTCCGAAATATACAAATACACACACACACACACTATAAAATAAACAGTTATTATAACTCCCAACTGAAATGTATATCATATTATCCGTTTTACCAAACTAACAAGTAATAAATATTATACGGATAATGACTCGTCGTATATTAATAATAATATATTATATTATATTAATTGAAACCGACGCGTTGTTCAGCGCCCAGCTTTAATGTATTCAATCAGCAGGCTCTGTTTAAGTTTAGCCGAGTCAAAGACAGTAGTAAGTAGAGCAACTATAATAATAATTGTTGTTGTACTTGGACCGGGGTATAGTTTTAAGTTTTAACCACCACAGCAGTTGCGTGCCACAACTCACTACACCGAGCGCTAAACTAATAACATTGTGTTTATTGAACTCGAAACGCGGAACTCGACGTTAATAATATACAATACGACAATACATTCTTCGTTTCTGGTGAGTCTGTATACAGATATTGTAATGATAATAATGTATACAGGGCGATTTCACACTCATCCCATTTTATATTTTATTGATTTATATACAAATTCAATTTTTTTTATTCTTATAATTTTTTTTAGGTGTACTTAATGACCTGCATATTTTCAAATACGACTGTTGTTACGTTTGAGTAGTTCCCCATAGCGATACAAATTTATTTTTTCTCTGTAAATCGATTGCACCGACAGTTTTCAAAATGGTGTGTGTGGTATTCCTAAATCGAAATTCGATCGAATAGTTTCTACACAGTGTTTGAGTTTTATTTTATAAAAATAATTATAGTCAATGGTAATCGTTCTAGGTTCAAAAACAATGACAATCAAGACGACGTATAGTCAACAATTCCAAAAATCAGAATTTTAATGATGCTTATAGTTGTCGAATTATTATAAAACGGTGGTGCGAGTATTTGCTTGGCCAGTCACTCTGTAAATGTGTAACAATGATAAATGATAATGTTTTATTTTAAAATTTTGTTATTATGTTAGATACACATATAATATATACATAATAGTTCAATAATACGCGATAAGGTTTGTGACAATCAATATACTCTACGGTGGCTATCGTCGATTTTTATTTCGTTGAAAATTATTTTTAGATTTATAGATACAATAACGATTACGTACGGTCGACTTTGATTGTTAACTACGATAACTATGATAATATTATGACTTTCGACTGTCTGTGGCATGAAAATCTCGTTTAGATAATTCAGTCTGTTCGATTTTTTACAAAATTGGTTATTTAAAAATTAGTTTTAATTGTTTACTTGTGTGTAAGGGAAAAAGAAAAATTATTAAGCCCCCCCCCCCAAGCAAAAATTCTGGGTGCGCGCCTGGTACTATGTACTTATAATTTATTGTACAGGAATGAATATGTTTTTTTTTATATTATATAGGTACATATATGTCTCTTGTCATTGTCAAATGTCGCACGTATACTGACCGATGTCCAGCGTGCGCCATGGGTCCACTATAGGTACTTTGTACGTTCGAATTGTTTCGACTAACATTTACGGCGGCAAATCCCTTCGGTTTTATATAGGTACGCGTAAAACGATTCTATATTATATTGGACGACCGCCACAAAACTCAATGTCACGCTTTAACGTTCGTCGCAGTGGCGTATTTTGTATTTTGTTTAATGGGATGGAAAGATACAACTAAAAGTATTTTAAATTTCGCTCGAAACTATAGGATGATTCATGATAGAATCGTTACGAGTTCGTCCAAATTTCCTACATCATAATATCGAACAAATACATGTCTATAGATATTATTATACCTATTATTCACGAATGAGCCATATGATCACATCAGGGAATGGGTGTGTATATTATACTATATTAATATTATACCTACAACTACTATATAAAGTGGATATTAATTAATATACCTATTATATTATTATATAAGTTGTAAGTAAAACAAACTTAGTTTTATCACCTAACAGTACCGTTTTTAAGTACCTAACACAGGTAATTTAGAGATTTACCCGAGGTGAACAAATCTTTGAGAGTGACAACATTTTGAGGGTGTGTTTTTTAGTAGGTACTTTTCTATACATTTCACAGAATTGTTATAAAATAGTACTACAGAAAAAAAATATGATGATATTAATATCTACGGGATTTTTTTCGGAAGGTCAGAGAACAAACAATATTGTAACACATCATTGCCTATCCAATTTAACATTTAGAAAATACTAAAAAGTAAAAACTATAACGTATCCACGTATAAAATACTATACCTACCTACATGGACGAGAATGAAGGGTGGTACGCAGAGTGTACGACGAAGGTACACATTATATTATAATGAAATAATGAAATATATTATGGACACTCGAGTGTTTTTTTTCTCGGTCACTATGTACGTAGGTACCTATAAGCCTATATTATTATGTATACGATGGCGCGCACTCCATACGTACGTGTTATTAAAACGAAATTTTGACAAATCGTTAGTGGGGTGTAATTAGCGTTTCCCAGGGGTCCCTATGATACGCGTAGGTATATATACGCACGGAGATAATAATAATGATGTCACGTGCGTGCACATATTGTTATATATTCGTTATATTACGCAATGATATAAAGCTTAATGTTGTACAAGTCGATTTTGGTGGGGAGGGAAGATTAACCATTAAAATGAAACCACTTAAAAATCCGATGTACCTATATTTGATATTAAAGAGTTCGAAATATCATGCGTATGTGACCAATAAGGTATCGCTATCGGCTTATATGACGTATAATCGAATTTTAAATTATAACATTCTAGTCACACAGCGAAAAGACTTATCATGCAATTCTGACTATAATATAATACGTCTATATTGTACCCATATAACGAATACATTCTGGAAGGGTCTTCATTTAAGTTTATATAATCATTATTATATGTTATATTTTTGTACGTAAACTTAATCACCAACACGAAAAAGTACTAAAATATAAAGAAAAGATTTTACACAGATTACTGCAGATTAGTATGCCAATACCTGCTTTATTTTATCCGTATGCTTTTGATATATTTTGATTTGGAAGTTGTATGCACTTTTATAATCTTGTCTGGCTAATACTCTTTAAATACAGTCATACAGATGAGAAATGAATGAGCTGCACATACTTGGATGTTGAACGTTAAGCATCAGTCTGTTATACGAATAAAACGCAATTATTTTCGTACAATGACCTAGGACTGGGAATGTAATATCCTAAAATCCAAAATACACTGCACACATTATATAAAACTCACTTGAATTTAGTTATTTTAAGCAAGTTATTTTAAACTAAAAATAATATTTATTAAATTTAAAAAGACATTTCGCAGGACTGCACAATTTTAAATCTTCCACGTATGAACTTTTAATTTGAGAAAAACAATATAATTCTCATTTGATTTGCCGTCACCATTCATGATCTCGATTGTTACGTCATACGGATCCGTTTGAAAGATTACGATTAAAAATATAAAAATGAACAATATTCAATTAGGTTATTGTTCGCAATTTACAATGATCCTTTCTTTTTATCTAAAAATTAACTTTTAGTGCGGAATGCCCTAAAACCGCTAAAATTCTTTAAAGTTTATATTGCTCAGTTGATTTTCATTGTTTTCATTGTTTAGAAAATTGTCAAAAAATTCAAAATAAAAACTATTCTTATTTTAAATCAAAAACATAATGCATGTTATAGCTAGGTACGCTAGGTAAACAGTGCAGCATATGCATATAGATCCCAGCCCAAAATGACCACTACCCCTCCATATACTGTACAGAAAATGTCTATTATTTAATAATTGTTTTCAAAACTCATTGACAATCGTACGACTGCAATAATTAAACCATGCGTAATATTATCATTAGACATCGTTTTTTTCGGAATTTGTTGGTAACGATATTGTGTCTTGTCCGCAGGTCCGTGTGATGGGTGCGCCGGAAGACCGCGGCCGCCATGTTTGTCAGACGGCGGACGTTGTGCGCGGCACCACTCAGCGCGGTGCGGTACGGCGCCCGGTGCGGTGTGCGACGTGTGCGGCTCGGCAATCGCGGTCGGCGACCGGCAGCGGCTGTGGCTGCTGCGACAGCTGAGGTGGCGGCGGCGTCGTTGATAAGGCGCCGGTGGCGGCCAGCACCATGGTGGTGTCGCCCGCAGGATGAAGAAGCAAAACGTCCGCACATTATCGTTGATCGTTTGTACGTTCACCTATCTGCTCATCGGCGCCGCCGTGTTCGACGCCCTGGAGTCCGAGACGGAGATACGCCGGAAACAAGCGCTGGACTGTAAGTTTCCGGTCGACCGAACGGCAGAATATAATAATATATGCGTTTACTTAGCAAAGTCTTACCAGCGTTTCTGCCCACGTGACCCGTACCCCACCGATCCCCCGCCCGCCCAACCCCCAACACAACGATTGGCCCGAACCAAGACTAAAAATATTTTAGCTGTGGGTAGTGCTAAACTCGAACAAAAGTCTTTCCCATTTCGGGGGGGACGTATATGCAACGACGATGTAGGCTTCCTATATATATATAAGTATAATAAAGACATAATATATTATACGGTCTGTCGGATGTCGAACCTATTCGAATTATTTATCACATAACGATTGTTTACGTTCGTTATTAGATCAGTGGTCGTAATAATTCATTGGAAAAAAAAACAACAATATGACATAATTGGGACAAAGTAGGTACTATAATATTGTTTTATTATCATACAATTTTGAATTTACTATTTGGTTATTTAATAAAATAACACAATTCCGCACTAGGATTATATCAGAATATAAAATCTAATAAATGAAAATTATATTTCATACCGCATAATGTTTAAACTCAATTCTAAAACGTATTCGACCCGTTATTGGGTCATTAGTCATTACCCACTGACTTAGATAGTTGTAGTGTAAGGTGGGAGTGAAAACTCGTGGTTTGTAGTTTGTACTACGATAGTCACCCAAACTTTTCACCACCAAGATAATATCATGTCCATTATAACTTTAAACGGTTGTACACGATTAACTATCGAATATTGATTCGATGTTTGTGTACGATATTTACAGAACATTAAATCAAAAGTCAAAATTTTAAACGGTTGCCTAAGGTAAAAAAAATGTCTGTAGATACCTGATTAAAAATTTTGAAGTTTTTTCTAAGATCGTTTCCCCGTTAACAAAAATATATACACTAGTAAAACAAGACTAAACGATGTTATATTACACCAAGATGCTCACATGTGTCACCGGTATATCGTATATAGACGAGCTTTCGATAATAATATTATGATATTTATATAAATTATGCAAGGTAAAATAGTGGTATATAATATACACTGACCTGTTATACATCGTGTCCACGTTAAAGATAATAGTACCACTAAAAATGTCAGTTGGATGACTTAAGATTAAAATAGGATTTTGGATGGGCTACTCTTTGTATCAAAATATGTACACATTTTGAGAAAACTTCAAATGTTTAACCCTTTCGTACCGAAAGTTGTTTTGCTTCATTTAAACACTGTACAACAATACGCTTTGATAACATGGATTTAACTTAATAAAAAAATAAATTTTAGTCGATTTTTTTCTGGTATTATCGACAATCAGTTATTACAACAAGGTATGCACTAGGTATACAGTATACACTATATAATATTATACATTTATACATGTACTATGATATTATAGTTACGTATTATTAACTGGCAATTTATCGTTTAGAAAATAAATTAATGTTGATTATTTTTACGTCATTAATTAATGTCAGACCTATTTTAAATGCGCAATACTATACGGCAGCACACACATTAAATCATATATTGTACGTTCAGCAAATTAGGGCATGCCACCCTGCACTCCAGCAGGCACCACTAACCAGTATCAGCATCGAGTCCATATTATCCTAAACCTCCATAAATCATCACTGTTGAATAGTGCCGGACCGACCGAATTCATTTCTACCAAAATACGTTAACATTCGGCCTGTGGCTTAGGTACCTATTATATTATTATTCGCAAATAAATAGATATCGGGCTCGTCTTCAACGCATCTTTCCCGGGATTCGGAAAAATGTCGAGGTAAACATTTTCGTGTATGGTGCTTGACATTGCATTGTATACGATTGTATGAATTATATATTATTATAATGTGCATTGTAACTTTCAACGGTGGAAACGCCATATTTTCGATCAAGGGTGGGCTGCAGCTGCAGGCGGATGTGTATTTTATTCACGCGAGTACAACAACTGTCTTGTGTAGGTGATTTTTTCCCACGGAAACTTGGACACGCTGACAAAATTCCATTATTACACCCAGTCACGCGGTTGGTTGCTTACGATGGTTCGTCTGCGGGGAACACCCTGTACAAAGGAAAAGTGGAAAATAATAATAATAATAATAATAATAAATAAACGAAAAGAAAAACATACATTCTTATACTCACACAAACACAATACGTTACGCGACTTGAGTGCATGTTTCGTATTTTCAACACAAAATTCCGCCCGTACAAAACCTTTTTACTTCGCCGTCATGGTTCGACAACGTTTTATAAATGATACCGTTTCGGGACAACCCGAAAATATACGAGTATCCACTTAATGTTTCCCATCTGCTTTTGTTAACCATTAAGATTTTGATAAAATACTATACAATAAATTATATATTATGTATAAATGTATGATATTGTGCACTATTATACTATAATAATATTATATTAGTATATATTATTATTATCTAAGCAAAAAAAAAAACTTCTTCATATTTGGATTTCGCAAACGATCGTCAAAACTCAAAAGTAATTTCCATAATATAACTCTGTATACAAATCTATCTTTTTATGGTACATTTTTTAATGCCAACAGTTATGTCTATTTCAATACAAATTTATGTTTAGATTTTTAATCTTCGATATTTCTGTATAAGTATTTACGACTACGACACAATAATAATCCTGTTCCTGTACATTCAAATTAGTCTTATACTTCATGTAAATATAGTTATTATATTGTTATGTACATTTCCAACCTAATTTGAATACTTCATACTTGTTAGTTAGACAGGAATAGTTGTAGCCCTGAGCTATTACTTTGAAGGGAAATCTCGTCAAAATCTGAAGTACCTAACTCATCATGTTGTTGAACCTGTGGGCTATGACTAGATACTTTCAATATTTTAGCTGCAACGTTCAGACTTTTTCCCAATACAAATGTGATTAGTAGACTTAACAATTATATGATCACACAAATCATATTATTATATTTATTGAAAAATCTTTAATAAAGTGTTAAGAGGTAAAAGTTTTTATAATACTCGGAAAATACGGAGTACGTACTCTTAGATAATAATATTTATTGAAACATATATTTTATAAGTTATTCGTGTTGAAGCTGTTGATAATGTGGGTATCAAAATTACAAAAATTGAAAACGATAATGACAGTTGTAATTAATGATGATTCCGTATGAAAACAAATCAGATGTATTTATACTGCACTCAATAAATAGATAATTAAAAATCCATAAATCACGCGTTGTCAGTTAAATACTTTCAATTTGTTTAAGTGTAAATACAAAAATTAAATAAATTAAAAATAATAATATTCAAATATAAAAATGTATATTTTCTAATGATATAAATTTAAAGGTACAAAATTACCTAATTTTATAAATTAAAAACTACCACGGTTTTCAATACGTCAATCAAAACTACTCCACGGTAATGAACTACACTCACATTGGACGTTTATATAAGCCATGTATTATGCACATGAATACAGTATATTATAATCTAATTACACTTAGGGTTAAAAATAGCTGATGTTCTATGTTTATAACGAGAAAATTCGGTATTTATTTAGTAGTCGTTAGTTAATGATTAAACGTTTTATATTTCCTACCCATTCAATGGTATAATAAAATCAATGCAGATAATGTTTCAATAATGTTATTACATTTTACGGATAATATCATTCTCAATGGGGATAAATATTATTTAAATTATTTTTAAACGAAGTTAATTAATTATTAATTACTAATTATTATACTATTGATAAATATTTCATCAACGTTATTGAATTTCAAGGCAAAAATATCTTATTCCCGAAGTATGGCTATTATAAAAGGTCATCTCTTTGAAAAGGCTTCATTGAAATGATGCCTGTAAATTATTTTAGAGACCATGTGACTATTGAGAGTTGACTTCTGAGAAAATGTAAACTAATTTCTGGAAGATTATTATTTTATAAAGCTCTAAAAATAATTAAATGCATCAGAGAAGCCATTAACATTTATAATGGCAGTGCATCGATTGGAAATATCAATAATATGTAATCATAAATAAAAATTGTAATGAATAATTGCATTAGGAATTATTTTAATTTAAATAAAACATAAAATACCTAATTACTCATAAGTAATAACACGTGATATTTTACTCAATTAACAAAGATAACCGCGAAAGAAAATTAATATTAATTTCTCAATTTTTCTTAGTACCTTTAATTTTACCCAAAAAATGTAATTAATGTGTTTTGCCTATTTGAGCCATCTTCAATTTCTTATTATATTCAAAAATGAAAAACATTAATTTCTTATAGTTTATTATACACAGCGTTAAGTATATTAATGTTAGTTAACACAATTTTCTATGATAGACGTATATAATATATTACATTTTTATTTTTAAAAATATTTACAAATTATATAATTTAATACGTACAATAATTAAATTTAATGAATGTATTGTCATTATAATAAAAAATCTATGAAATTAAGTGAGTTGAATAAATATCCATTTATATTAATCAGCAACCAGGTATAATATATAAGGTAATTCATCAAGCCCAATTTTTTCCTTTAACAATGAATTTATTCAAATTCTTATTTTTATTATTTTTCAGTATATTCTAAGCTAATTTTTTCAAATTATTTATATTGATAGATAATTATTAACTACTAAAATTTTCGAATCTCCATAGCCCCTAAATTTAAAAAATCCATTATCATGGACCTATTATCCTTAGTACTCAAAGTTAAATAATACAAAAACTACTCGTACAAATTTTGATTCTGATAGGTCAAAATGTTCAGAAAAACCATCTACTAAATAATTTACTGCAGAATGTGTCTCATTTAAAATACAGAAGTTTGTATCTCCATCGGACATTCCTTAAGTAATACAAAAACTCTCAAGAATTTGAAAATATGGTCCTTAAATATATTTCAAAATTTCAAAACTTGTATTTTAAATAACTACATTATTGAAGAAATAGAGGGTGAATT